CAAATTCATTGATTGACAACTTTAACATTCTAACAACCTTAAAATTCCTAAAATCACTAATTAATTTTCTCACACCATTTTTTTTGTTAATGTTACAATTCTTTTTATTAAAACTTTTTGTGACTTTTTGTTTTAAAATCATAATTATCTATATAAAGTTTTATGGGGCAATTGCAAAAAACGTCACTTTTGGTGTGCATATTTGCAAAAATATCACTTAAGAGTGTCTGTTTGCAAAAATGCCACTAATTATGGATTTTAAAGCGTAAATCTTAAAATTATAAACACTTTAAAAATATTTTGACCCCTAAAACCCCTTAAACCCTCAAAACTAAACACTAATACAACATAATTAACCCAAATATAAATGATATAATGAATTTTTTTCTGAAAATGTAGCATTTTTATAAAGATTTTGAAAAAGTGGCATTTTTGAAAAGTGGCACTTGAAAAATGACATTTTTTAAAATTTTCTCAAGTTTTAATGTTTTGTATAGTCTATAATTGGGTTTAATAAATAAATTATAAATTTTTTAAATCATTAAAAATTCACAATAACACGTTTAATTTAGAATTATAGTTTTGATAGATATCAAAGAAAAAAAAAGATAACGGTCAAAGTATTATTGGCTTATTATACTTAAATTGGTCATATTTATGTTACACTTTAATTTTCGAAATTAATTTACATTAGACTTGGCTATGAAATTGTAGGAATTAATTGTTAAATTTATTAAAAACACTTAATTTTTCTTTGAGAAATTTAAAAAAATGTCACTTTCCAAGTGCCACTTTTTAAAAATACCACATTTTCAAAATCTTTGTAAAAATGCCACTTTTTCAAAATTATTTTTTCGTTATATAATTTATGTTTGAGTTAACTATGTTATATTAGGATTTAGTTTTGAGTGTTTAGGGGGTTTTAGCTGTCAAAACATTTTTTAGGGTTTAGAATTTTAAGATATAGGTTTTATAAATCTATAATTAATGGTATTTTTGTAAATAAACACCTCTAAGTGGCATTTTTACAAATGTACACACAAAAAGTGACATTTTTGCAATTGCCTTTTTTTCCTTTTCTCTTCAATAAGTAAATAGACTAATGTCAAAAAAAAATATAACATATAGCATCCTCTCATGACATGGGTTTAGAAAAACTTTAATTATCAAAACTAATAAAACATGATAGATATATAAGTTGTAACATTAGAATTAATGGTCGTAATTAATAAAAAAAGACAAATATCAAAATGAAGAGAGACACGTGGCAGCTCGTCAAAGGTTCATTTTGTTAAAACCTTAGATAAAAATGCGTATTTTACATGTTCTATCCACATAAAAATGCTTAAAATGTCTATTCTTACGAATTTGGTTGATTTTTTTAAAAAAAGTTTTTTGAAACTTATTTTTTACCGTTTCAAAAAGTATTTTGAAACTCCTTACCAAAAAAAAAAAGTGTTTTGAAACTTGTTTTTTTTTTGTATTGTCTTACGCCTCTTATAACGTAAGCAGACCATTGTAACTATATTTTGTTCGGGTTTAAACCAAACAATCCGAAAACAGAATGTTTCCGAACTAAAACAAACTGAGATATA